CCCCTAAAATTCGTAAATGTACGACTGGCAACCATATGGGTGTCTCCATGTACATTTATCAGCTATTCAGTTTTGACTACCGTATGCTGGAACCCCCCTGTAGAGATCGCTGGATCCGCCGCTGGTATGGGTAGTGGTGCAACAGGACCGGCGAAAGCAGTTTTTGATTGGTCGAGCCATACCCTAGCCTTTCATACAGTTTGAGCATGATAATGGCGCCTGGGAGGGTAGAAACATGACCTCCTCAGCAGTAACACACACGTTGGTGGGTAAAAAGTTGGTCCAGCCATGGCCTGACCAACCAGACCGGTTCCACCAGGCCTGCGCAATGATGTGTGTGTAGTTGTGTGCAGCAAGCTGTGGAGCTGAAGTACGCAGGGGCTCAAGACGCAGCCTGGCATTGCTCTAAAATCATCACGAGCAAGACATGTTCGGATTTAATCCGGTTTTGTACTTATTCCGCGATCATGTGATGCGATCAAACCACGTTTACAGCAGTACGTTTGTTCTTAGATCTGCAAATCTAGCCAGGAGTGTTGTTCAATGCCATGCATTTTCCAGCCTACTTGTCCTCCGGCGAAATGTTCTATGGCGCCCGATCATATTAGACATGCGGATTAGCAGTTTACCGTTCACGCTAACTTTGACCGTCACCCTGTACCGTTTTTGGTGTGTTTCTAAGACATGATTAGCATTTCGGTTTCTGACACAACGATCGGCTTGTGACGTTACCCTGGTTGGAATCTTACCGTTTCGTTCTCCCGGTAAACGGAGCTTTCTGTCGTCGAAACGATACCAAACCGGCGGTATTTTTTGGGTGCTGGGTACGAGAACTGCTGGATTTAGCGTGAACGGTAATATGCTAACCATGTCCACTGTAAGGTGATACCTGAATTGCAAAGTTGCCGCCATGAAACAAGGCGGGTGCGCGTGTGTGCGTGCTGGCGGGTATGCACAGGGCCGTGTGAAGTGGCCAAAGTATTTTCTCGTTGCTCCCAATTGAAAACTCTAAGATCGTCCTGTGCCTTTATTTGATCTTGTGTGCACTTTGCAGATGTCGACTATTGCGCAATTATGTACAACGCTTGCCCATTTAAGGACACCGAGTGTTTCGATGGTTTTCTTGACTACGAGTGCAAGTGCAAAGCAGGCTTTACCGGCAATGCAACTGAATGTGAAGGTGAGATAGGAATGAATACTTATCCTTATAGCTCTCCCGGTATGTGTGTGTGTGTGGGGGGGGGGGGGGGGGTATGTGTGTGTGTGGGGCGGGGGGGGGGGGGGGTATGTGTGTGTGTGTGTGGGTGGGGGGGGGGGGGGTATGTGTGTGTATGCGGGGGGGGGGGGATATGTGTGTGTGTGTGGGGGGGGGGGGGTATGTGTGTGTATGCGGGGGGGGGGGGGGATATGTGTGTGCGGGGGGGGGGGGGGATATGTGTGTGGGGGGGGGGTATGTGTGTGTGTGGGGGGGGGGGGGTATGTGTGTGTATGCGGGGGGGGGGGGGGGGGGTATGTGTGTGTATGCGGGGGGGGGGGGGGGGCATTTGATTTTACAGGCAATGCAACTGAATGTGAAGGTTAGATATGATTGAAACAGTTCTCCTTATAGTTTTCCCAGTATAGGTGTGTGTGTGGGGGGGGAGGGCGGGGATGGAGAGGGGTATTTGATTTTGCCGGCAATGCAACTGAATGTGAAGGTGAGATAGGAATGAACAGCTCTCCTTATGTGGCTGTGGACATTGAAATCCGCTGAGAAGTTTTAAAGCGGTCACGGGGCGCCGGCCTTGCAGCAGCAAGCACTGCTGGTCCACTCTTGCAGTATATATGTGAACTACAGTGCATGTACGTGCTTTTAGCGTGCGCATGCACTCAGTGACTGTAGTTCACATTCTCACCTCATCTCACCTCATCTGATCACCATCACTCCCTATTCCAGTCAGACCTCGCTTATCCGGTCTTCGTTTATCCGGATCCCTCGCCATCCGGAAGAAAGCTGTTGGTTACCAATTTACAGCATATGCCGTGCTTACATACAGCATGTGTGTTCGAGTATCCGGTTCCCCCGCCTATCCGGATATTTTTCTTGAAAACGGATGTGTGCGGCTAAGCGAGGTCTGACTATAACTCATGCCGTACCCAAAGCCGTCCATTCTTTATCCGCTGACGGTGTTGTTCAGAACAACGAAACGTCTGGAAAAGTATCGTAAATATTTCTACCTTTGCACTCGGATGGAGAGCCGAGGATAAATTTAAAGCAAAGAAAAAAGGACCAAGGAACTACAAGTTACTAGTGCACTGGTAGCCAGTTTCTTGTAGAACGTCAGTACCGTCGGTCAGTGTCGTGCAATGTTATCGCATGAGCTGATTGTTTAGTAACTGGTGGTGTTAGTGGACAGTATAGCGTACTAGTAACGTGTAGTTTCTTCGTCCTTTTTCTTTACTATAAATTTCTATCTTTGCAAACAATATGTACCACTCTTGGTCTAAAAAGAAAAGAAAAAAACTTTTTTTGATATTCCAATCCGAGTGGCTAACTAATGGCTTGTCCACCAACTATAGTAACCTCTCTTGTCCTTCTGTTCTGCAGACGTGGACGAGTGTGCGACCGGCTCTCCGCGCTGCCTGGAACCCAACACGGCATGTAACAACCTTCACGGGCGCTACGAGTGCGCGTGCGTCGACGGTTACGAGATGAGCGGCCCTAACATTTGCCTGGGTAAGAGCACACCATGCATTTTTAGAAATTCTAGGTGCTCAAAGGTAATCCACAGCGGGTGGTGGTGTCCCTACGGATGCGGAAAGTCGGCCTCCAGCCGAGCCTAACGAGAGCCGTGAATTTTTTTAGGTGCTCAAAATGGTTGGCACGAGGACAACGGACCGTTTGAGATATGACCAGAAATTTTAGGTCCAGAGAATCGGTTATCTGTTGGATTAGGTGTGTCAGTGTTTGTTCGGCTGTTGACATTTTAGCTACAGAGAGGCAAGAGGCAGTTTGCTATGGGATGATGAGTGTCACTCAGTGCGTGTGTGGCTATGACATTTTAGGTATGAAAGAGATGCACAGAATGTACCGATAATAAAATACAACGAACAATTTTGTGAAATTAAGCGCCAGTTCAGGGGCGTAGCGGCCGGTCCGGCCGGTCCGGCTTTGGCCTCACCACGTTTTTGCCCAGAAGTGCCCAGAATGCAGGATTTTGCACCCAAGTTTTCAAAATTTTCCCGGGGGACACCCCAGACCCCCTTCAACCGGACCACCGCCAGCAGCGGTGCTACGCGCCTGCAGTTGCGAACAAACTTGTGCTCTGGGCATTCGCTTTGCTGGATTTCCCTACAATGATTTTGGTCTTGTGATCATTTGGTCAAATATATGATCATTTGGTCATGTGATCATTTGGTCATGTGATCATTTGGTCATGTGATCCCTTGGTCATGTGATTAGTTGGTCCTGGAAGGGGGTTGGGGGAAATAGACAGTGCAGTAAACATCCAGTGTACTTCCAATGGAGATAAGCTGTGACTCTATGGACGTGCCTACAAGATTTGTAAAGTGAGAGTTGAATTCATTTAAAAGTGTGCTTGGTACAAAGACACAGGAGTGCAAGCATGCACAGGTGTAAGTGTAAGAGTGAGCAAGGTCACCAGCGCTCAAGGGTGCAAACTAGCTAACGTCCAAGTGTGCAAACCTGCGAGCGTGTAGATGTTCAAGGGTGAAAACCCGCAAGGATACAATAGTGCCAACGTGCAGGGATGCAAACATGCAAGGGTGTGGGTGTTGTCACTCCTTATCCCCACTACTGGCAGCACGGCCAATGTTCATTGAATCATACTGTCGACTTCTCGCCACTTTACCTCGCGCTGCACGTGTTCAAGACCCAGTACTAGTATGTAATTGTTGACATCCTTTCACTAGCTTGCGCGGTTCACGCCTTTTTGTACGTGGGTGTCACGCCTTTTTGTACGTGGGTGTCACGCCCTGAGCAGTTTATCAGTTGCTGCAGCCTGCACATCTCTGTTTATGCTCTTGAGTTCAACTTCTATGAAGTGTTCTGGAGAAAAAAAATTAACGGATCGCTTGAGACTCGGCTTCCTAGTTTTCCGCATCCACAGGAATGCCACCGCCCTCTAGGATCAAGGAACAGATGCAGCTCCTAAGCGCAGGGTCTGGAGGATACCTTCTGTAAAAATGAACTGGTGGTTGTTTTCGCAAATGTGAACTAGCATCCTTTCTCTTGCCCTCCTTCTCTCTCTTCTCCCTTTCTCTGGATAGTTTTGTACTTGAGCACAGTGGCCTGTTTAGTGGATTGTAGGGTGGGAACGGACTGACTTTCTTGTTTCTTCCACGGGAAGCTGATCTGTGTGTAGCCGATCAGGATTGTATAATTGATGAAGGGATAAGACGCAAGTTGAAACACACTGTTGTACGAAATACTCAGCACCGTTTTTAAATCACTCGGAGTGAACATTGCTCGATTCTTCAGACCGGAATTCAGGCAGGTGGATCGCAGTCACGAAGTTTTGTTCCCGAAGTTAAGTATACGAGCATACAGGGTGGTGTAGCGTTCCTACCAATGCAGACAACTCAGTCCCCAGCCCAGTCTCAAACGAACCGTGAATTTATTCTACTTCTATTTTATTTTATTCCCGTAGCTATGCAGAAGACGTTACTTCAGTAACGTCTGGCGCTAGCCAGGGTCCACACAGCTTTAATTTGGTATTGGTGTGTTTGTTTGTTTGTTTGTTTGTTTGTGTCACGCCTGGCGCTATCCCGTATCTGACGGCAAAAAAAGCATAGGGATGTTATACATTTTTCAATTCCCCTTTTTTCAGGCATTTCCTGGGATTCGAACCCGCACTATCGCCCTACATGCATTCCCCCATACAATTCGCATTCATACCCATTCTTCCAAGTTGCTTCACGTTATGATCTTGCTTTTGAAAGCCCTATTTGAATATTGCGGGCAGCTGTATGTGGCCAGCTGTGTTTGATGGTACGGTACG